TATATATATATATATATATATACAGTTAAATGATGTTCATCCTAGGGCTGGGCAGTATATCGAGTTTGTATGATATATTGATATTTTTTTTTTGGGAAAACAAAATGGAATGAGGCAATACCATTTATATGGATATACAGTGATTTGATACAAGCACATCTGAAAAATAGCACCAGACACAGTTATTTGTAGTTGATTTTTCTGCATTATCTGTAAACCGAGTACCGGATCATGAGTAAGTACCTGAAATACTTTGAAACACACACACACAAACACATAAATTATAAATTCTGTCAAAGATCTGAGAACTGATAAAAAACTGTTCATGAAGGAAAATGGATCATGTTACGTTGTAACCTCGTGCCTCAGCATTAAACGTTCATATTTGCAAGACTGCCGATACAATAATTAATTAACTATAACTTGCACAACTGCTTATTTGTGACCCTAGAGTCTCTGTGGAATACTTGATTCTGATTGGTCAGTCGCGACATTCCAATGTCTGTTATCCCTCGATGACAACCTGTAAAAGCTGATAACACAGGCTCATCCGGGTAACTGAAGTTGGCGCTATACGCTCGCTAGGAACTGTTTTTCTCAGTGGAAGCTTTGTGTTTGGTTAGCTAATAAAATATTAAACTTCAATTCAGTATTATGTGTTTAATTATTTAATTATGTCATCCTGGTATCGCGGACTCGCTCTCTCGTTTCATACAAACGCAGCTGCTGCCGTTTTGCCGTTTTTTACATTGTAATGGATTATAAGATATATTTAGTCTTAAATCAATATATTTTATCGCCTTAAAGGGTTAGTTCACCCAAAAATGAAAATTGTTATTAATTACTCACCCTCATGTCGTTCTAAACCCCTAAGACCTCCGTTCATCTCCGGAACACAAATTAAGATATTTTTGATGAGTTCTGAGAGCTCTCTGACCCTCCCATAGACAGCAATGTAATTACCACGATCGAGGTCCAGAAACATAGCAAGGAGATTGGTAAAATAATCCATGTGACGTCAGGGGTTCAACCGTAATTTTACGAAGCTACGAGAATACGTTTTGTGCGCAAAAAAAACAAAAATAACGACTTTATTCAACAATTCGTCTCCTCCGCGTCACCCTGGTGCCATTTTGGAGAATATCCACTGAACGTAAACTGCGTATGCTATTCTGTGTCAGCTGCGTAACGCAGTATTCCACCATAAAAAATTACGGTGTGTTAAACTTTGACAGCTCTAAAAGTTATAGAAAAAAGATTGTGAAATTGTATTTGTTAATGATAACTGACCAAACTAAGCAGGTGCCAACATGGACAGGTTGCGTGGAACAGTCCTTATATTATTTTTTGGTGGGTAATGCCTTTATAGTCGCTTTGTAAGTGGTATTACAAAAACGTAGGCTCAGAATGCAGGTCATGCGTGCTGTTTTTGATGTGTAATCTTCGATGATAGGGGTGGTCCCCTGTGCCAACATTGAGCACTGTAGTACCTGAGATACATCCTGTTCTAATGTTCCTCACGTAGTTGACATTTGGAAGCCAGCTATCCCACTGACACCGTTAGATGTGGGATGGACTTTGTGTGCCCGTCTCTCCACTATTCTCTGCACGTGTCACTCCAAAGTCAACAACAGAAAAGTTAAGAGGCTGTCCATTCACTACCATTGAACCTGACAGTGACAGTGTGAAGAGCAGCTTTTAATATTTCACATGTGAACTTCATAAATCATGACATTTGCTGATAAAGCAAATATATTTAGAGCAATGAAAAGATTAGACGATAAAGCTAATTTAAAGCCAATTTAGAATTGCTTTTCCAGGAGAAAACCACAGATTGATGGAATGCTTAAAAATATAACAGCTGAAAAACATATTGAAGCACAAATTCCGAGTATGGGACACCATACTTGGCCACACGTCACTTCACTTCAAATTAGAGTAATATGAATAAGATTTGTTCACTTGACAGTTAGGGGAAAGACAATTCATGTCACTCTACAAAAACCTTAATGAGTGCAAAAATAGGCTTAAATTTCTTGAGTTTTTGTGAAAGTCATGAACAAATAACACTTTCTGTGATGGTAGAAAAAAGTACAATGAGCAAAATAACAATATAAATGCATTTAAATAAAAAGACTCTAAAAAGACGGCACACCACACAAGCACAAAAAGACAAACAAACTTGCAAAGTTTTTGTAATAATCTCTGGAGAGTACAGGAAATGTGTATCTACTGGAATGAAAACGCTTTGTACTCTCAGCATGGAAGTGCACATTTGTCACCTGCTCGTGTTTTTTTTGTTTTTTTAAAAGCACATTTACAGCTTTTATTTAGCAACCCTGCAGGAGTGCTATCTGTACAAAAGATCTGCTGAAAAGATTTTACAGTCATATCAGTGAAACTGTCATATCAATACCATTTTATTGTTATTTGGCTGTTAAAATCATTTTGGGAAGAGAGTGATTTTAGATTACACAGGATGTGGAGGACAGTGGCTTTTAACTGAAGTCAGATGAATGAAGGATACAGCAACATTATAGTTCATTTACACTAGGCACAATTTTATCACCATGACTTTTAAAAATGTTTCCTTATGAGCTCCTTCACATTTTGCACTGTAATTAAAATGATTTTTTACTTTATCAGTGTACTGTAGGTACTTCTTTAAAAAAAAAAAAAAAATCAATAATAATTTTTAAATGAAATGAAAATGAAAATTAGCTGTGAATGTACTCATCCTCAGGCCATCCGAGATGTAGAGGAGTTTGTTTCTTCATCTGAACAGATTTGGATAAATGTAGCATTCCATCGCGTGCTAATCAATGGATCCTCTGCAGTGAATGGGTGCCGTCAGAATGAGAGTCCAAACAGCTGATAAAACAATCACAATAATCCACAAGTAATCCACACCACTCCAGTCCATCAATATTATGAATAGAGGACTTGATTATACCCTGGAAGCATTTTAAAGTAAAAAATGTCTTATTGATGGATTTGTTTCTTCTAAACAAGTAGCTTTTCAATTCACAAGACGTTAACTGCAGAGGATCCATTGGTGAGCAAGTGATGTAATGTTAAATGTCTCCAAACCTTGGATGGCCTGAGTTTGAATGCATTTTCAGCAAATTTTCATTTTTGGTTGAACTTTTAATACAAAAACAACTAACCAGTATAATCTTTTAGTCCTGTCTTCTTTTTGAGTCCTGCTGCCGCTATGGAATTTAAATGTAGAGTGGATGCATGTATTTATAGGATGTATTTTACTGTAAATTATAGTACATGAAGGATCAAAATATGCAGCTTTGTGAACTTTTCTTAGAGATGGATGAACATTTGCATACACTGGGGTGGATAGTTTTGTTTTTTTCTTTCTCAAACTGTACTAGTGAAATAAATAAATAAATCCCTTCAGTGTTCCCAAAGTATCACCCTTATTTTAGACATTTGCAGATCAGTATTATCCTTAAAAACGGCTCTTAGAGAGGTAATTGAGGAAGTCCAACATGATAATTCGATTGGACCACAAGTCCCCAGTACTGTTCTCATTAATTTAATTAACGTTGTCAGTGTCATTGTTTCACCATAAATCATACAACTGTAGCTCATCATTTCAGTATCTGCCATACTGCAGTTCCCCTGAGAGATGATTGCTCAACACTATATGTATTATATTTTATGTAAATTTGATTTGTGCATAAGACTAGACTGTGGCTTTTGCGGTGATTTTCAACTCATTAAGCTTCCTGAAGTCTTGAGCACATCCTGCCTGCTACCTTTATAAGCTTTGCCTCTACTTGTGCGTAGCTTAGCTTTAGGTGTATTAGGATAATTACCTTCACAGTATTTTTACAGTACTAAAGTAAGATATTATTTGATTGACTTAATTACATTTTTAAAGTTTTAACAAGAGGTATTGGGATTCTTTACAAATGCCAAAATTTAAGAGGGTTCAGTTTATTTGTTAAGCCTAACTTGAAAGTAATTGTAGATTGTTTTTTTCATTTTGTTTATAAATTTAAATTGAGTCTTTATGGTGAATTTTAATTATATTTTTTGTTGTTAGTGTCAGTATAGCTTTAGTTCATCCCTTATAACACTACAATTGTTCCATATGCATATGCTCACAATAGCTACACATTAAAATAATGCATAACGCATGATAACACACAAAACAAGTAACTAGTTTTTTTGTCCAATGCACTACTTTTGTACAATGCAGTACTCATGATTAGTGAAATGTGTTATAAAGTCCCATCGCTGCTGCATTTCACAGTAAATTATAAGTACAGTCATACTGAAGTTTTATGATTCACCAGTGTACACTGGATCCACTCAGGTCTACTTTCAGTCTCAGACGACCCACTTGGAGAACAATGGCCACTGATTTGCCGAAATGTGTGAAGTTCAGGGCATCAAATCTTTGTTTGAAGCACTTTGGATCGCTTAGGTTTGACACAGTTTGTATTAATTGTTGTGGTTTTGTCATATTGCAGTACTGTATGTGTTCTGGTTGCTCTTTTGTGTAAACTTCTCACACATCTGCACACATCCTTTGTAGGGTTGTGACGGTGAGGAAATTTTCCCACCGGTTAATCGACTTGTGACAACACCGGTAATACCGGTATCACCGCGGGGGCGTTCCCTCTTTTTCTAGCTTTCCTTTGCTTTTAAATAGCTTGTAAAAGCGTCGTGCGCATTTTACTTTCACTTTGAAATAATGGCAATTCGGCGTAAAGCAATTGTTCGTTTTTAGTTTGTTTGATTTGTCCCTCTTTTCCTCGCTTTCCGTCGCTTTTAAATAGCTTAAAAGCGCTGTGTGCATTTTACTTTCACTTTTGAATTAACGGCCGTTCGGCGTCAATTGCTTGAATGCAACAACAAAATACAATGTCAAACTCACTTTAGCGTATATATAAAACATAGAACTTTTATTAACAAAACAAATACAAATACACCATGCTATAGGGCAGGCTATGCCTAATATAAAATAACAAATAACTTACATAAAGTTTAAATAGGTATACAAAACTGGAAATAGGCTAAGTAAACATGTATAATATATAACCAAGTAAATAAGAAACGTAGAACGTTTATTAGCAAAACGAGTAAGAAAGCTTGGAGGCACGGCATACACCTTGATGTCAAATAAAATAAATAAATGACACAAAGTTTAAATAAAGTAAAAATTAGCAAACACTGTGGAACGCATTAAATAAGAAACGAATGTTTAAAAAAACTTCCAAAATCACCTTAGATAAACGGCAAAAGTCAACAGGCTTTTCAAAATCCAAAATATTGCCAAACAGGCGCTTTTGCATTTCGTTTCGAAACTAAATCATCCGCCATCGTCTTGTCTGTCTCACCTCACTCTTCTTATCAGTCAGCAGGTGGGCAAGTGACGTAACGACGTGACGTTGCGGCTTAACACCGGTATCACCGTCAGCACCGTCTATCGCGGCAAGCCTAATCCTTTGTATCTAATCTCATATTTTTGACATTCATCTCTCTCTCTCTCTCTCTCTCTCTCTCTCACTGTCAGCTGTTTGAGCTTCTAGGTCCTCAGGGGTTTGAGATGATCTCCAAACTCCTTCAGAGAAGGTCAGACATCGTGGACTCCCTGGTGTCCATCCAGTTGGATAGCAGACCTCACTTCAATTCAGGTGAGCTCAGTAGCAACTTCTCAGGACTTCACAGCATAAACATGGCAAATATGTCCTCTTGTTTAGTTTGACAAGTTTGGACACATATTATCACTATTTTTCTATGATTTAGAATAATTGAAATGTCATCGAATAACACAAATGGAAATGTAGGGAAACACCACAATAGTCAGTGACTTGAAAGTAAAGCTCCCACATTTATATTATAGATAAATTGATTTCAGTATAAACTTTTTTAAGACAGACCTACCATTATCAAATGGTGCTTTTTGTGTGTAATTGTCAAGTTCCATCTGAAAAATTACAGTTCCTGTAATCTTGAAGAGATGTACCTTAAATCCACTTAAATCAGAAAAGTCACTGTTACCTGTTACTGTCCCGACCAGACATGCTTTATGGAATCCGCAGTTCTTTTTCCATGTATGTTGTTATGTACCTTTTTCTAAATTTCAAGTTCTTTATTCTTTGAATTTATGTTCATATTGTTGTGATTAATCTTGGAGGATTTTGGAATACATTCTGAAGACTTTTTTTGTTCAAGAGAGATTCTTGAGTAGATGTAACTTGTTTTAAGGAGGCTTAGATTCTTGTAGCAAATCAAATGGTTTGCTTTTATGGATTCTTTTAACAGAAAAAAAGGCTAAGAAAGTGAATGGGGAAAATACTTCCAGAACCAAGGCTGAGGAAAAAGTGGGTGGTCAGGTGGTCCAGTCTTAATGCAATGCAAGCAGTGGGCAGTCTAATCCACAGTTTTAAGCCATTCTCTTCTAGCTAATGGTAATCTCAAAGACCCGTGTGATCTTTGACTTTGAGCACTTTTGCATGGAAAAGAAGTTCAGAATTTAAAAACAAAGAAAGACCATCTGAAGGAGTGAGTGGAAGGGAGATGGAGAGAGAAATGGGGCCACTGACCCTTTAACCTCCATAAAGCTTTACAACCACCATCTCTCAAAACACTGTAAGTGTGTTAGTCTTTAAACGTTCTCTATTAACCTTCATTTCCTGATGATCAGCTGTTTGTCTGAACTCTGAATGGTGAGTATCAGGATTTACTGTACCTGCACACAGAGAGATGGGAACGCAACTCAGTGCTCACATTAAAGGCGATTTAAGTCACACATGGCCATTTAAGTGCTTCCCACAGGTTTGCAATATACTTGCGGTGGTTGCCGGGTGTGGAAAATCCTCCTATTACCACGGCACAAAAAAGGTCTACTACATGTGACAAAGAACAAATAATGTGTAATATTTAACAATTTTTATTTTTCTTTCTTTATTGAAATTCATTTTAATTACAAAGGCTACTATTACATTTAATTACATACTAATATTATGCATTATTATGCATTGTAAATTATGCAAAATTACAGCATGGTAGAGTTCTCCTTGCTTTGTCAAATTGCGTGTTATAAAGTCAGAATTGTGAGATATAAACTCGCAATTCAGAGAAAAAAAGTCAGAATTACGAGATATAAATTCGCAATTGCGAGAAAAAAAGTCAAAATTGTGAGTTTTTATCTCGCAATTCTCACTTTATATCTCGCAATTCTGACTTTATAACTAGCAATTCTGACTTTATAACTCGCAATTGCGAGTTTATATCTCACAATTCTGTGAAAAAAGTCAGAATTGTGAGATAAAAAGTTGCAATAACCTTTTTTTTTTTTTTTTCATTCAGTGGCGGAAACGGGCTTCCATATAAAACAAAAACAAAAAAAACTTAAAACTTAAACAAGCCCGAAAAACACCAGGACCCTTATTTTGAAATGTCTACACTATAGCGGGCTGATCCTTCAGATGAGCGATAAAATATGCATTCTTACAACCATCTAAAACATATCATATAAAGGTCATAAAGTAGACATTGTCATAATTCATCAACTCATAAGTTCATAAGCAATCGCTTGGCATAAATGTGCGCTATTCATTGATTGAGAATCACTTTGAAGCAGTCTGAAGCACTGTTGCATGAGCCTGTAAAACGCCTAGTGAGACTGCAACATGCAGTGCTCTTTTTTTAATGAAATAATAGCCTTTTGAAGTTTAATAATCAATAGGCTGTATCGCGATTTATGTTTTTCCATCCCCAAAATATAAGACGTCTTAAAATGATCATTAAGACTTTTGTTTTACAAACAAGGGATTTTGCTTTATTCACACACGTGCTCCTAAATACATTTTACAGTTCGCACACACATTTTAGTCGCAAATGCGACTGAAGCGCCTGCACTGTCGAGCCCTGTCTTTGTGAAATATCCACTGCGTCTCTGCAGCGCACGCGGGAATGTCAGCGGGAGTAAACAGTTCTCGAGCACACAGAACGAGCAGATACGAAATGTGTGGGGCGAGGGGAGATTTTCCACTAGTCAATCGATCCCAGATGGTTTCACTTATTTCAGGCGGATAAAAAAAAAGTATAAGAGGATAAAAATTATAAAAGCAAACATGTTTCTCCAAATATACTTGGGCAGCCGTTAAAGGGTTAGTTCACCCAAAAATGAAAATTAGCCTGTGTTTTACTCACCCTCGAAGCATCCTAGGTGTATATGACTTTCTTCTTTCAGACGAATCATATCGGAGTTATATTAAAAATAGTCTTGGCTATTCCAAGCTCTATCATTGCAGTCAGCGGGTGTTTCTTGTTCAACTGTCCACAAGTCATCAAATAAAGTGCGCACATCCATAATAAAACGTGCCTCACACGGCTCAATGGAGGTGAATAAAGGCCTCCTGTAGCGAATCCATGCGTTTTCATAAGAGAAATATCCATATTTCAAATGTAATAAACACTTTTCTCTCACTTCCGGTGTCTGTCATACGCGGAAGGCGTTCCGGTGGAACGGGTCACTGAATCATTGGCTCAATGGATTCATAAAAAAAAAAAAAACATGGATTCATTCAGTAATGAAACACCGCCGTGTGTTGCTCGAAGATGCACAACAGTTCTGCAGTGGCTTTGTGTGGAGCCGTTGGCGAAATTGAGCAAAAACAGACAGTACTGACAATATTGTGTCTAAAATGTAACATAATATTAACTTCTTATTTATTGAGCTGTTGTTTAAAATCAATATTACATTTGTAATCGTGCAGATATTCAGGAAAAAAACAGCACCCTTGGTCATGTGATATTGCTAAATGATATCACATGATATAAGTCAAAAACCCATAGGCTATATTATGCAGTCAGTCATCGTCCTGCATCATGCTGAACCACTATCAGTCCAATTATCAGACCAAACATTGAAAATAAAGACTTATTTTACCCATGGACGGATGATCCTCTACTGGAGAGGTATTACCGAATATGTGATTGTCTGACTGGCTAAACCATCAGCTTTGTGAAACCATATCAAGACGTGAGCATATTAACATAAAAAAGCCTTTTTTAACTAGTGTGTTTCTTCTGCTTTGAGTAAATGCCTGAAAATGACATTTTAACCCAACTTGGGAATATGTGCTTATGAAATATGTAAGCATTCTAGTTACCAGTCTCTTATTCTGTCTTCACACATCTAAAACAGAGAACGATTGTTGGAGCTTTGTTTTAAAAGTGTGAGCGGGGTGCTTAAGAACACAGCACGAGGTCTTCCACCGCAAATATCACATAAACCCGTCTACAGCCAGCTACAATATTAAACTGTCACTTTCATAAGCACTGTGAAGTGTGACAAGCCCACAGACAATAAAATGTGCTGCAATAAAGTAAAAAAAAAAAAAAAATCAAAGCTAGTTCAGTGTAAAGTGTCTTTAAGAGGGTTTCTGTCTTTCTACACTCACCGTGAGAATAAGTGACTGAATATATGTGCAGCTCTATTGCGGGACTGTAATTTCTAAGCTATATGTCATTTCAGTTGGCACTCTCTTCCTGTGAGCACTTGGCCATTAATGAGGAACTGAGCTGCTCTTAATCCATTAAACTTCCACTTTTTAGCGAAATGACCCTTTTGTGTAAGTGTTCATAAAATTATTACAATTACCAGAGGTCGCCTTAGCTAGTGTGCGGCACTGTAAGAAGCTCTGGAAGTGAGTGAAGTATTCACAGTGCTGTATAGTCAAAGTATATATATATATATATATATATGATCATATAAAAATTGCACCTGTAATCTAGGCAAGCAGCAGGAGTTTTGATTTATATATATATATATATATATAAGACAACACCCCCTCCCCATATCGTAAGTCATGGTATCCCAGAAGTCAGCCCTGTTGCAACTTGGAGCGGTTAGTCAAGCCCAGTGCCCTGTTGCATAAAGCACCTTAAGTGTAATTTTCCCTTAAGATCACCCTTAAGTTTCCCTTACTTTTAAGGGCATTGCATAAAATATCCCTTAAGTGTTACTTAAGGGTTTCTTTAGGTGAAACGTCATAAACCCTTAGAATTTCTCTTAAGTATCCCTTAAAACCCATTAAGTGTTGCATAAAGCCTCTTAACTGTCATCTAAGGATAACATAAGGGTTGGAAAATGTCACCTTAAGTGTTACACAAAAGTCTTCTACAAGTCATGATCGGCCGCTTTATATGTTAAACAGAATTTAATTTACGGATTTATTCACATATAAACATGGATCAAATTACATACAGTACATAATTAGCTCAAACGTGAGTGTGTCACACTCGAGAGCAAATTTATATTCCATAATATTTTATTTTCGTATTTTCCTACATATTACCTGGAGATGACACTGCATGAGAGTGTAGCGCTTTAATGTTCACATCGTTTTGGATACGAATAAAACGTCATGCATAGACTATCTTGTCTCTTTGCATTTAAATATATATTTATTCACACTAGTACCTGAAAACCTCTACATGGACAGAAATAATGAGAGATCTTTATTTGTTGTCCAAAGATGAATAAAGTCTTATGGGTTTGAACTGACACGAGGGTGAGTAAATGATTTTTCAGAATTTTCAGTTTTGAGTGAATTATCAATTTGAGTTTCCATCTCATCTGGTCCTTCTCTTTCATATTTGGTTTTCTTTTTTGTTTTCCTTA